TCCGGGACGCTCCTGGCGGTGCTGCCGGGCGAGGGGAGAGGCGAAAGTGGCTGAGGGAGGCGAGCGCTGCGGCCACCTGGGCCAGCTCCTGCCCCAGCTCCTGCCCCGGGACCGCCGGGTGCTTCCCTTGCATCACGCAGCCCTTGCGGCGGGCCAAGCCTGCTGCGTTACCCGTTGGATTTTCCTTCAGTTTTGATCGTGGGAGGAACGAGGGCTTTTCCCCCCGGGAACTGGAGGAGCGGTGGTGTGCATATGGACCACCTGACTTGGGAGAGATCATAACTTGCTTGGGAGCGAGAGTGCGCATCGAGATGTGTTGTTTTGGTAGTTTGGTGTCCAAAACGGGATTGCAATATAAGGCGCACAATGGCTAAAAGTTCTCTCCCTGCTGTTTGTAGGGAGTAGGGACTCATCACCTGTCCCTGCAGATCGGAGAGTTGGGATCACGTGAAAAAATCCAATACCAAAACCTATTTCCCTCTCCTAGATCTCCCTCACCATCTTCCCCTGGCAGAAAGCATTAGCCTATAAAGCGGCTACCTATCTAGAGCCATACTGTTCTCCTATATCAGGTGTTTTTCTTCCTGTATAAGCTTTACGTGGCACTCAGGTTTTGGCACTACATTCTCTGCTTGGAAGTGAAATGCTAGTGAAAGGTTTGTCCAGGTGTGTATGGCTCCTTTGGGGCAGCTCTGTTCCAGGCGTGTTAGCACAGCGGTCACTTCAGATAGGTTCAGTTTTTGTGCTGGATTCCTTTGTCCTGACAGGGTTTGTTCGTGATCTGAGCCAAAGCGAGCCATGCCAGGACCCTTTTAAATAGACGTGACTGCTCTTTGTGATGGATTTTTGTAACCGTAACAACGTAGGGCTCTTACAAAGCCTTACTGATATTCAGTTGGGTCGTTGTGTTGAAACTGGTTTCTCCTCCAGTACTGCAGATCAGCAAAGACGATGTGACCGCACTTCAGTGTAAAGTAGTGTGTCTTATCCAGAATGGGAACTTCAAGGAAGCCCTCAGCGTAATCAACACCCACACTAAAGTGTTAACCAGGTGAGTTGTGTCTTGCTGTGCTCTAGAAAAGATGAAACCGTGAGCCTTGAGAAGCTGCTGCAGCTTTAGCGGAGGGGACTAATAGGCAGCAAAATAAAGAGCGGGAGGCGCTCAAAGCGATTGGGCTTGTCAGTGAAACACTGATTTATTCTGGGTGTGAGAGGTGGTCTGGATGAGTTTGAGACAGTCTGACACCTTGCTGTTACTGTTGAAGGGGTTGTCCCTAGTCTAGTTGTCAGCCACCTCCATGATTCTGCTTGTTGATGAGATTGGGCGCTGTAGCTGGTAACAAGGGATGAGGACAGATCTCATGGGGAGTGAAGAGAGGAGGGAGAAGCCCTTGCCAGTGGCAACGTGCTGTTAGCTTTGCTTGGCTGTCTCATCATACTGCTCACTTGGGTCCTTTTCTCTGCCAGCCTGAAGGTTACTCTTCAGCTTTTGGGGTGGTGCAAGCCTTCTGTGCGTGTTCTTAAAATCAGGACCTTGGAGACAACTTGTATTTGAGAACAAGTTAGGCTTCCCATTTGTGTCATTAAGCAGACTCTAATTTTTCCTCCTAATAAAGATGCTCTTTCTGCAATGACTAGGATGAAAATTGCTACCCAAGAACTGCCTGGCAGCAAAATTTTTGTGTTTCAGATACCGCTCTTGTTAAGGAACTTCCCAGAAAAATGTATTGTGGTATCAGTGTGATGAAACATACCCTTGTTTATATTCACATCTGAATAAAACTTAATTACCTTATTCACAAATTCCGCCTTTCCTGGGATGGAAGGAGTTTCATTTAAGTTTTTTAAGCTTGTCTTATTAGTGTATGATGATGAGGAGGCACAATTTCTCTAAATTCAACTGGATTCAGAGTTCTCCCTGTAATTTACTTAGCTTGGCTCTACCGTGTGTCTGTCGCTGTATCCTGCAGAGCAGGGCAAGTGGTGGTTCTTGTGCTGCCTTGAAGTTGTCCTGTCCTGCACTGAGGCTGGCCCACTGCTTTGTTTTAATTCTTAATGCTATTAGTTTGTTTTCAGACTCCCCTAATACTCAGCTGGACTGAGGTAACTTAAATAGGCAGAAAAATAGCTGGTGACAAGTGGCACCAGTGATGAACCAAGGGAATCACTGACTAATTTTCCTTTGGCTTAAGTGATAACTCAGGGGTAGGTAGAACATAGCATTCAAGGCTCTGCTTGTTTGATAATGCTTCCCTGCTGGTGTGAGCTTGCTTTGAAGCCAATTTTGTGTTAACATCAGCAAAGCCTTTTGCTGCAGTTCTGCTGTGCAAATATTTCAAAATAGGTTAACGTTACCTTTGGCTTAGTATCGGGCTATAAGAGGGACTATGTTTTATACCATTTCCTTTCTCTCCTGTGAGTCGATTGTCTTTTGCTGTGGTGATATGCTTTCTCCGTAAGAAGGATTCACATAATGAAGTTCGGTGTTGTTTTACCTTTAAGCATTTGATTCACATAATCAGTAGGAGGCTGGGAGAAGGTGGGATTTGAAATGCCTTTGTGTCTGGAAACACCAGAAAAAAAGGAACCTCTTCTTTTCGGTGAAGTTTTGATGTTCCTTCTCTGTTGAACGCAAAGTAGGTTTAAGATATTTTCAGTGTGCAACAGATACATAATTCAGTGATCTGTGATTATGTGCTCACCACTGGTGTTTGGCTCTTTGGGAATGTAGCAGTCTGTGACTAATTAGGGCTGCTTAAACATGTGTGTTCAGGTGCATGAATGCTGTTGAATGAAGACTGCAGCTCCTGCTCTCAGCCTTTGTCTTGTCCTTGCAGTGATGTTATTGCCTTTGAGAAGGCCTACTGTGAATACAGGTTGAATCGTATTGAAAATGCTCTCAAGACCATTCAGAGTGCCAGTCAGCAGACAGACAAACTGAAGGAGCTTTATGGACAAGTGGTAATTACAAGCTTTTCTTCCTGGTGGGAGTTTTGTATGCTGGATGCCTTGTCCCTCCTCTAGTATGGGGCAAGTATGGGGACAGAATTCCCTTCTCTGTCTTGAAGGTAAGGAGAGGCACAGCACCCAACCGCTCCAACTTCTGTGGAGCTTCAGTCACCTGTTGCTGGAGGCAGAGTCATCATCTTATTGACACTGAACAAAAGCAATACATTTGTGACTCCCTCTCCCTTCCTGGGTCTGGCCATAATAGCCATCTGGCTGAGGGGATGGAGGGTGGAAGAGAGCTGATGAGGTTTACCTGTGGTCGAGCCACCTGCTTGCATTAGATACCTGTCCAGAAATGGTTTGCAGGACCTGACATCTCAGGTGTTAGAAGTGAAGCAGAAAAGAAGTTGCATTTCTTCTCCGTTTTTTTCCCTGGTTGATCAGAACGGTTTTGCAAAGAATTGGCTGTCTTCTCTCAGCTGCATGAAAGAACATTAATTTAATCTCTCATAGAGAGGTGATCTAATCTGGAAAAGGCTGTTTGAGGACAAAACTGTGTTAACTGCCGCTTTTAAAGAAGTGGTTTTAGGAGTAAGAACTGTGCCATTTGTGTGCAGTTATCTGGCGTCATTGCGTGAGTCCTGGCATGTGTAATCTATAGAGTTTGCCCTTAAAGGTAGTTGCAAATGTTAGCAGTACTCAGCCTAAAACATATGATGCGCTGCTTCTGCCAGTCCGTGGGGAGGGAGGAAGGAAGGAGACTGTAGTTACTAGCATACACAAGGAAATACTATTCTGAAGGCTAATCCCTTCCCCTTCTCAGTTGTACAG